GTCTGCGATCTCCGAGTCCAGCTCTCTGTCTTACAAGTACACCAACAAATAAAGTCAAGGGGAATTTTGAGTTTGCACCCCACTTTTTGGGTGATATTGGATTTTGCAAACCATTTTCAAAATTTTTAGACTTTGCATTCTGTCGTACAACATTTTGTGAAGATAAATTTCTGAATGGGGTGCAAAGGCAAAGACTTTTAAGGGGAAATAGGGCGCAAAGTCTAAAAGTTTTGAAAATGGGGTGCAAAGTCCAATATCACCCAAAAAGTGGGGTGCAAAGTCAAAATATCCCTAAAGTCAAATCCTAGCCTAGCCAACTTTACTGTACATTTGCTTCGTGTAAATATTTGATTGTGGTAGTTTACACTCAACTTTAATGCTCATATAATAACACTGTTTATTTCTATTTGGAAAGTCCGGTGTTTTTTCCTAGAAAAATGTAAAGAAAATATACTAAATGAGTAAATGTATACGTGTGTCAGCAGTGCGTGTGCATATATTTCTAGGAGGTATATATTCCAGGCACTGATGGGTGGCAGAATGGGAATTGAAAGGATATAATGATATGAAACGTCCTTAAAATCCAATGATCAATTGTCATATTAGAGAAAAGAGAGTACAATAAGGGGTGGACCCGGGCCGGTTTCAGAACTGCCCTGGTCCCGTACCAGTTGGTTTTTAAAAAAAAATGTGGGGCCCGAGACCGACCCATATAATTCCGGTTTCGAACTGGTCGATCTGTCGGTGCCTGTCCAGTCTGGTGCTGCCATTTTTGTTAAATCAATTATTGTAAGTGTAAAAATGTATAGGTGAGTAATGATAATATTTAACATGCATTAGAAATTTTATTATTGTGTCAAATTTAAATGTATAACTTTGGAAGCAGGGGCGGACAGTTATTGGTCGCCCTCTGTTTTTTTTTTACACATATGCCCATGTTTGCTCATTTCGCGCTTGCTGTTGAGTTAACTGATAGAGATGGAGTGGTTGTATTCATGGTAATATGCTTGAACAGTTGAAGTGTCAAGACGGGGAGTCTCCCTGTATGTATTTTAATCAAGCTAGTTATACTTTTTTAAGGTGAAAAATGGTGCGAAGTATATAAAAATTACAAAAATGCTTCTTGTACACACATTTGTACACACCATGTACACACTACAAAAGGAGTTTTTAGTTTTTTACCTCCATTCCCTTTTTTTACCATTTGTCTTCCCACTCCCTTCTCTCACATGCTTACTCCTGCGCCACATCCCTCCCTTACGCATCTCCATCTCAACCCCCTCCTCTCTTTTTCCTTTCAAAAATGCTTGAGGTACACACTTTGTGTACACTCGTCTGTCTCTTAAGAAAATATATGAATTGTCTGTGACAGACAAAATTTTCTTAAGAGACAGACGAGTGTACACAAAGTGTGTACACAAAGTGTGTACCTCTAGCATTTCTCTTTTCCTTTTTCCCCTTTCTCATTTCACTTCTTTTCTCCCTTTCCAAATTCTAGAAATGAACATTTAGGCGGTCACTTGTCTTCAAGTCTGAGCTCATCGCGGTGTGTTTGCAGCTGGAATCAGTGCAGAGTGTGTGGATGAGCGGTCGATTTGAGCCGCTCGAACAAGAAGCCCTCATTAACTAACCCATAAATTGAGGTAATAGCCTATTCGATTTTTCTACTATATGCACTTTAGGGGTTTGTTTATTTAAAATTTCTCATTATTTGTGTATAATGTATGTTATAACACTAATTAGTTGAATACTTTGTATTATTGTAAGAGAATGTAGGGTTAACTATTGAAATTTTAATTCAATTACTCTATTTCAAATTTATGCTCATAACATGTTTGTTGAAATTACACAATGATTTTTTTTGTTTAAATCCAAGACTTTTACTCTCCTTTTTTGTTTTTGTTTTTTGACTGATTCTTTGTTGTTAATTAGTTCAAGATTCTAGTTTTCTTGTGACTCAATTTGAATAATGATGCATATTTATTTATTGTGAGGATGTATTTCTGCTCAAACAGAAAAGCATTTGATGCAAAGGTCAAAATCAGATGATAATGCACATTCAGTGTGGATCTTCCCTGAGAGATCTTTGTTGCTGTAATTATACCACAGTGGTAGACAACCTTTTTTCCATCATTCAACCTTTGACCTTTTAGATGGAAATATGGAATAAATACATAAATGAGCTGCTTGTAAATGAAAAAAAGAAATTTACTTTAAGTTGTTGAGCAAGTCTTGACCGCTGAGACAACATCTATAGCAGTATAAGTCACAAATTGAGGTTCTTAGCGGTCACATAGGTCACATGTAAATATGTTAAATGAATAGTTAATTATACTTTTAATTTTCAATCCTAAAATTTGCATTTCTTATATTCTATTGTTTCTTTATAGCATGGGCGCATGGCAGGTTTGAGAGTTGTTAATACTGACAAATATCTGTAAGAAAGTTTGTAGCACAAATTACAACCATGAGGTTAAACATTGATTGAATTATAAGAAAGATCTGAACACACTTCTTAGCACTATTAAAATGTTTCTAAAGCAATATAAAGGAGAAACGCTTGTATTCAAGGTTGTTCGGTTAATTTTGTTTTGTTCATTGCACTTTATATGGAACCGAGAAATCGATTTACTTTTGCTAAGAAAATGATTACTATCAATGGCCTTATTTTGAAGATTAAATTACTTGTTTATCATGTCTTGTTTAGGATGTATTCCACAAAAATGATTGATTTATTTTATCTTGGACATTTTTTTATTTTCTAGTTTTGTAGTTCAACATTTTTTTAGTTTTGCAGTTTCAATTATTATGCTATATGTTCATTGTTTGACTATTTTATTTGATAAGTATCAATTAACAATTTGAACATTAGTTCTTAATCTATTTGTAAAATTGTTAAAGACCTTAGGCCCAGGGCCGTGTTTAGGTATATGTAGACCTGAGGCAAAATTTTAAATGAGGCCTATATTCAGAGAAAAAGTACTAATTAAATGAACTTACTTTTGGTATTTATTTTTCTTGCTTTTTAAGTAGCAATATCACTTACTAAAGTTTTATACTCTAAATGTTCTAGCAGATTATGCTTATAGATACTAAACCCGCGATTGTATTATCGATTAGACATGATATATGATTTAATTGAACAAAGTTAGATACAATAAAAAGTATTAAATTAAGATTAAAATAAAAAAACCAAAAAATTAAACACAATACAAATGAATTATGAAGTCAAAGATTTCAAAGAATAGATTAAATTGATATAGCCTTATCAGAAATACGGGATATAAAAGCAATGACTAATAATAATATGAATAATGGAGATCACAAATTAGCAGAGAATTCAGATGTAGTAACAGGATGCAATCAAGTGAAATATGGTCAAAAAATTTGCAGAAGAAAAATATGGAGAAGTGTAAAGTTTTAGGAGCTTCAAATTGATAGTTACTCCATCCTATATAGTATATACGCGATGGAGTAGTTATGATGATAAGTTGGATCACTTGGGTGAGGGTTAAATTGTTAAAACTCCTAAAGACATGAATTGACTTTTTCCTTTTTTGTTTTATTTGAGATATTTCTAACAATATAATGACCATACAAAGCAATACGTTTACAACGTTAGTATGTACTATGTAATACACTAAATTACTAATATGAGGCCTTATAATATTTGGGGGCCTGAGGCAGTAGTCTCACTTGCCTCAAAGACTCCACGGGCCTGCTTAGGCCGATAATGACTAGTAATTGATTCTACTAAATCTCTTCTACTTCTGCCGAGTTGCTCCTAGTCTTGAGCTCTTAATATCCCTCAATTTAAGGATTTAAAGTTAAAAGTGTCCTTTTTAATATATTTTTGGTGGTGGTTGTGTTTGGGTGGATGTATTGAAATACTATCTCATATGAGCAAATTATCGTCAAGTGATATTAATGATAAAACTTGATATGTTTAAGTTGCTAAGAAGGCACGATAGGAGCGGCAGGCCATGAGTGTATATAATTTCATCTACCTGTTTGGCTTATAAATTTATGTTTTCATCTTAAGAAGAACTTGGTGGTGTAAAAGAAGATCTTTCGCTGGATAGGAGAGGATCCTAAGCAATACAAACTCATCATCGCCCTCTGCAGAATGGCTCTGAAGCATTATCAGGAAAGGAATGCAGAACAAGTTTATAACTTCATGAACATGTAGAAGGCAGAGCGTATGTGGGTTGCAGACTTGCAGGTGGGGAGCTTACCCTTACATTTTGTGCCAAGAAGGTGAAGGCGAATGGAGATTGCGTGGAAACCTTTGAAGCTGTTGGGTATGACCTTATTGGGGATGGGTTATCAGTAAGGGAAGGGAATGCACCTTACTGAAGTAAATGGAAGGCAGGGTGTTGTTTTCTACTTGTTGTGTTCCTATATATGGGATGTTCAATTCTTCTCTGAGTATGAATATTTTGGTTGTTTTTTAATTTGAGTATTCAATAACATTTTTTGGTAATTAGCCGGATACTTTTTAGCTTGAAAGGGTATGTGATTCTCATGAAAATAGGATATTTGTGATGCTCACAAACAAACCAATTATTAATCTTAGATAAGCTTGTTGTCTCGCTCAGACAATATAAACAATTGCATAGACATTTATTTTCGACGTATAGATAAAAAGACATGTTTAATCCACACACAGACTATATAAATGAACACACAAACAATTTGTTTCTATGCACACACATACAATAATTTAATAATGCACAGATAATTTAAATGAATATATTGACAATAATTTTCTATGCACAAACAAAATAAATGAATTTATAGACAGTTATTTTCTACACATAGAAAAAATAAACAAACACACGTTTAAACCACGCACAAACTGTGTAAATGAACACACATACAATTACTTTCTATGCACAGACAAAATAAACAAACACAAAGACAATTAGTTTCTATGCACATGCAATATAAACGAAAACAAAGACAATAATTTTCTATGCACAAAAAAAAAAAGAATACATCGATTCAAATCTAGTTCATACACGATTCTACTTAATACATTAGCCCATTTCGATGACTATAACAAAAAAGATCAAACTTTTCATTTATTACTCCAATTATTATACAAGAGTCTGAAATAACACCAATTATATAAATTAAAAAAATAGAACATTTTTACAATAATGCAATTGTATTAGCACGAAGTCAGAGGTCTTTATTTCTCCAAACAGTATATGCATCCAACGAAGCAAAGTCTTTAGAGTACTTTCCCAATCTTCGGTTGATCAATCATTTTTCAGCATTTTCTCATGGTTTAAACTTTTGGTACAAACTTCCTTATAGAGAGAGATATTTGCCCTAGTTAGAGCTCCCAAGCATGCCATGTTGTTAAACACCTGTTAAAAGCATTTAAATTCATGATTCTTAAGCATCTGCTAAAAGGAATTAAATTCAATGACAAACATTAAGAAACATTCTCGACTTTACTCATTTCACACACAAAAATTGCATCAACATCATTACATATAAACGAGCACACAGACAAATATTATCTACGCACAAACAAAATAAATGAACACACAAACAATATTTTAACCAAGCACAAACAATATAAATAAGCATACGGTGAGAAGTTCTAACCTTCTCCTTTCCCATATTCTCTCATTTTACCTCAAATAAATTCTGAACCATAAGTATACATTACAGTTTACAAATTAATCCAAAAAAACAAGTTCATCTTAGAAATTTACATGAATAATATATGCAATTTTATGATGACAAACAACATATATAAAACAACTACAACTGTAATAACAACTTCAAAAAACATTCATTTAAATTTCAGTGAAACATTTAAACAAACATGTCATGTGCATAAAAATAAAGTAGAATAGTTTAACTGAAATTTCATGATTTAGCATCACCAGTCCATAAGAATGAAACAAAATAATCATACATTCAACATCATACTAAAATCTGTTCTTTCAACATAACAAGATACATATAAATCTGAAAAAGAAAAAAAGTATAAACATAAAAGCCAAAATAAAGTGAAGTAAATTATTAGCTCAACATTCAAAGTTTTAGAGCTGGAACGGTTGTATTACATGTGAGGGAAAGAAAGAAACTCTCATGATTTTCCTGAATTGAGCTATGTTGGTAATTGAAAGATTTTGTAGAAGAATAAATAAAGAAGAGGGAAAGGGGCGTAGGAAGAACCGAAGAAGGGGAGGAGGGAAAGGGGCGTAGGAAGAACCGAAGAGGGGGAGGAGGGAAAGGGCCTAGATGAATGGAGGGGGAGAGAGGAGAGATGGGAAGGGGTAAAAGAGGTGAAAGAGAGTAATTAATTTTTGGGAGTATATATAGTGGGTATATGGTGGGTATTATAATGGGTACAAATAGCATTTTTGTAAAAATTAAATGTACAAATTTTTAAGTTGTACTTGTGCACACCTTTTTTTGTATATATTTAACCGGTACTTATTTCCTATTATTTTTAACTTCAATGTCATATATCAATTCATGTTAGCCGACCTGAGTGAGTGAAGCTTGAATGTTGTTGTTCCCGTATAACGCAAAACTGGAAAGGATCATTTTAAAGATAAGTTTTGCCTATGGCCCTATGCTTGCACATTGCAGCTCAAGAAATAAATAATTCATCATGTGCAGATGTAATAAATGCAAAAATAAAATAAGGGAAAAATAATTAAAATACCCTAAACTATGAAGGGGTGTGAGAAAAGCACCCCAAACTTGCATATGTAATTTAAATACCCCAAACTTTATATAAAATGTTATTTTAACACCATGGTCATATATCATTTCTTTCAAAAATGTAAATTTATGATGTTAATTGCATAATTTAAAATATCAAATCGAAAACTTTGCAATTATATAGAGTGGGGGTTAATACTATTTATTTTACAATGGAAGTTTAGAATGTTAATTGTATCTTCATGAATGCTAAAATATTTTAAATTGTGAAATTCACACAAAAAATTGTCATTTAAGAAAAAAATTATCCATGACTAAGGTGCAAAAATAACTATTTATATAAAGTTTAGAGTATTTAAATTATATATGCAAGTTTGGGGTGCTTACCTCACACTTCTTCAAAGTTTGGGGTATTTTAATTATTTTTCCCTATAAATAATGTAGTACGGAGTCTAAGTTTACCTTGATCGCAAATTATAGGTTCATATAGGTGAGAGCATTATGTTATTTGTATATATGATTGTATGATAGAGGGTTCCATAAACCATACATAGTATCATTTTTAAAACTAATTAAAGTTAGTTGCACTTCATATCATACGGTAAGTTAATAGAAGAAGAGAACATATAGTAGCTCTGACATACTGTACAACTTCAGGAAGCAGAAGTAACCGGTCTCTCCAGTCGCTGTCCCCCCAGTCCGTCGTTGAAGGCTTAAATCAGACGACCATTCCACCGATCTCTTATTCACTTCCCATGTAGCAATGTAGTGGATTTAACTTTTTAATATTTTAATTAACTAAGTGGTATATATAATTACATATATATGTATATCAATATATGCGTATATGTATATACGCATATACGCATATACACTGCGCATTAATTTATTAATTTATAGACTATTAGTTTAAAAATAACCTATAAAACAGTTAATTTATTACGAAGTATTTATTACGTAGTATATGCTATATAATGAAGTGCTGGACTGGCAAATGGTGATATACTGATATGCTCGTATTAGTTTAATAATGAACTATTAAACCATTAATTTATTACTCCCTCCGTTTCAGTTTGGTTGACACACTTTCCTTTTTTGGACGTTTCAAAATGAATGCCACACTTCCCATTTGGTAAACAAAACAGTGTCAAACAGTGCCAAACAGTGTCAAACAGTGTCCAAACAGTGTTCAAATAGTGTCCAAACAGTGCCCAAACAGTAAAATTTACCCCTTAGTAAATGTTTTCCTTAAATGTTGACAAATCAAACTGTCAACCAAACTGAAACGGAGGGAGTATATACGGAGTATATAATTATAGATAAGTACATAGTTATATATATAATATTATACATAGGTTTTGATTCAAATAAGAACACGATCTTATGAGAGAAATTAGAACGAATCTGGACAGTTAGATTTGCTTCAAGTGAAATTCAATGTGCATTAGATAAAACTGTAATGTGCATTAGGTGAAATTGAAATGTGCATCACAAAGGGTACGATAGAGTGGCATTATGTACAGTTGAATTGTGCATTACGTGAAATTGAAATGTGCACTAGGTGAAGCTGAAATGTGCAGAATAAAATGTACGATGTGATGTTATTTTTGCACTTCGTTTTCGCACATATCAGTTTAATCTAATGCACACTTGAGTTTAAATTTTTATTTTGCACATTTCAATATCATTTAATGCACATTTCAGTTTCACCAAATGCACAATTTGGTTCCACATAATACAATCCAACGGTCCAGATCCGTTCTCATTTTTCTCCTAAGATCTGTTCTTACCGGAACCGCTCCCATTATACATATATAGGCGACTAGTCGCCTAATTGTTGCGGGCGCCTTATCGCCTAGGGGATATGGCGGTCGGCTGGCGCCGCGACTCGACTTACCGCCGTGACAAGTATGGTAGCTCATTACACATGGCACACCTTATGCCTACATGGAGTGAAAGGCTCAAAGTAAAAGCTTAAAATGCAGAATTTAGGATGCGCGTGATAACATAGGCAACAAAAGTAACTTTGGTGCTTACCTCATAAGTAACAAAAGTAACTTTGGTGCTTACCTCACAAGTAACGGCGCAGCAATTGAAATGCCCCAGCCACAAGCTTAGGACCTAGTTTCCAACTGATAAGTTTAATCGAATTTGATGAAAATGCAATCTCTGAATTTCATGTAACTTGAACCAGTAAACCCAAAAAATAGCCAAAACATTTTTCATAAAATAGTTGAAGCTATTCTAAGCTACATTATTTAAACCTACAACTCACATTGTCAACTTTCACAATTTCCTTCTATGCGGCTTGTGCACCATTTAGATAACCAAACCAGACAAGCCCAGAAAGTCCACAAGTTTATGCACCATTTAGGTGTTTTAGCAAAATGAAAATTTTGTGAAGATAGGACAACTGAGTGTTTTAGCTGACGCTGTTTAGCAGTGTGTAAGATAACCTAATTGAAACTGCATTACAAAGGCTTTTTGTATAATACGTTGACTAATTTTTTTAATTATTCAGAAAGCAGAATATGCTTAACACTGTGGACACATTAATGACACATACATCTCAGTGCTTGGCAAATACCTTCGATAGCAACAGATTAAAAATGCCTCATCTAGATGTTGCAGTAAGCCATTAACCACATCCAAAATCCAAAAGACATTTAGCCGTTGGCTAGAAGAACCTAGACGAAGAAAATAACCAATTTTAGTCAGAGCTGCCCTTTTTAATGCAAGCTTTATTATAACATCCCCACTCCATACACAAATAAGAGAATATATATAAAAGCAGCATACCGCTTGAAACTTTTTCAGGTTCTAGCATTTTGACTCCTCAAACTGTACAACAGAAGAGCAAAGATGATCTTTTGTAATCCTTTTGTTTACACTGGAGAGAAGTTCGTACTTGTGGCCATCATAACATGCAGTCATGAAGGCTTTAAGAGTTATTTGATCGACAGTTTGGCATATATTTAACAATTTGTGGAAAAACAATGAAGCCATGTCAGCTTTCTTTTCACTGCACAACTTTCGGATCAATGTATTGATCGTACGAGTCCATAATTTTTTTTCTAATCCATCTAAGAGGATCATTGCAGTGGAAGGGTCTTCCTTCTTGCAAAACTCATACGCTATTGTTAACCGTGTGACTTCACATGGGGTAATTCCTTTATCCATCATTGAATCATACTGGTTTCTGGCCTCAAACAACATTGACTCCTTGCATAGACCACTAATCAGAGCACCATAAGTAACGCAATCAGGTGCACAACCATATCCTCCCATGATATCGAATAACTTAATAGCTGAACTGATTTTTCCGTCTCCACAGTATCCGGATATCAATGATGTGAAGGTTTCCTTGGTTGGAACCAAACCTAATCTAACTGCATCATCAAAAAGTTTTTCACTTTCTTTCATCCTCTTTTGCCTGCATTGGGCTGCAATTAATGTGGTGTATGTATGCATGTCAGGGCTGATACCACGTTTGACCATCTTACACCAAAATGCAAAGGCTAGCCTACTGTCAGTGCCTTTACAACTGTCTGATATGAGAATGGTATATGTCACTAAGTCTGCAGAGAGTCCAGCTCTGAATGCTTTCTTCAGCAATTTATATGCTTCTTGAACTTCTCCCTTCTTCATGAGTCCATTAATGACAGAATTGTATGTAGTAATACCAAGTGACAATCCATCACTCTTCATTACTTCCATCAACTCATAAGCACGACTGAACTTGCCTACTTTGCAATACCCATCAATGAGTGAAGTAAAAGTTTGAGCATTTGGGGCCAACCCTTGCTCCTGCATCCTAGTAAGAAGCATCTCTGCGCGATTCAATTTTTCCTCCTTGCAATATCCAGTGATCATCACAGTATATGTATGCACGTTTGGCTTGTAAGCCTCACTCCTCACTAGTTTCAAGAAAAGCCTAAATGCCTTTTCGGTCCAGCCCTTCTTACACAGGCCATGAATTAATGATGTATGGGTAAACACATTGGGTTTCCAACCTTTTGCAACCATTTCCTCTAACAACTCAAATGCTTGTCTAACACTGCCTCTCTTAGAAAGCCCGTTTATCAAACAAGTAAAATTTATCAAGTTTGGAATCAAGCCCAGTACAGTTAACCTATTGAAGATCCAAAACGCCCTATTCACAAATCCCTTTTGGCAAAGCACGCTCACAATTAATGTACAGGTTGCATTGTCCACGATAAAACCCCTATCCAGCAATGCAATCATCCATCTATCTGCATCTGCGGCTCTCCCTAATTTACAGTAAGCAACTACCATCGACTTAAAACAAAAAGAATCTGGACAAAGGCCTCTTTCACACATTTCCTCAAACACATTCTCAGCAATCTCTATACACCCCACTTGAGCAGCAACACTAATAATGCAGTTTAAAGTCCTCGCAGTAAAAACCAATCCTTGGTTACACATTTCAAAAACCATATCTACAGCTTCCTTCAACATCCCAATCTCACCAAAATTCTTGACCATGCAATGCATGATTTCATGGGCTTTCTCAAAATTTCCATTTTTCATCAAGCACATTGATGAAACAATGTAAAGCCTTATAAAGGTCCGGAATTTTGGATATTCAATTGCACAATAAAAGAAACTCAAGGCGGCCATGGAGCCTGCCTCATCTGCCAGAGAAGCCACAACAGTAATGCATTGTTCTGGAGTCAAAATTTCGATATCGATAGGCAATCTCAGTTTTTGATGTGATGATTTGAAGTGGTTATGTTCTTGATTGTTATAAGACCAGTATACCAAAGAACAAACTCTTTGGATGATGGAACTGCAGTGTGAAGAGGGCAAAGAAGTATTGGGAATTGAATGAGGATCAGTTTGGGTGTGAAAGCATATGAGCTTTTGTAGGGTGAGGAAGATGCCATCAATGAGTGCGGAGTTAGAAACTCTGAGCTGCTGCACAGGCCCAGCCCTGAGATATTGGAGGACCTGTTCAAAACTAAATGTGAGGCGCTAAAATATAAAGAAAATTCGAGTATTGGACGCCAACAAGTTAACTATTAAACGAAGAAAATATATGGAGCACACCAACGTGCTCCGTAGTAAGCACTTTAGCGTGATGAATGGCCAGAATTCTCTAAATATTTCAGATGAATGAATTCCGGTCATTAATCACGCTGATGTGCTCTGTAGTAAGTATGTTAGCATGTTCCATATACTTTCTACTAATAAACTTACATAACACATTTGGTGAGAATATTAAACTTATTGAATATAAAATGCAATGAAAAACTTATTTTGATTCTTAACATAAATATATCATTAGGATACACACAAAAATTGCAAAAATCTTTTAAAAAATCGGGACAACTAACAATGTCTCAAATTCTAGAATACAAGTATGTCTGATTACCGAAATAAAGAACATACAGAGTATATAAGAAGTTAAAAACTATGCTCTAGACCAATCTCCAATATTCTAAGCTAACAGCCCTATTAGCTAGGATTTCAACTATCAACATTCAGTAAAAGTATAAAGAGCATACAAGTATTTGCAATACTACGATTAGGACTATCATTCCGATTAAAAATCCAACTTAGATCATTAGTTTATTTGTAAAAGATTAACAAATACAAAATTAATAACTCGTATATAACAAATCAACAATTAACAAAACTTTCGATTTTATAAAACTAAATGAAATATTCATATTTTAAAATATAAATTATTAAATCAGATTAATTGGATAATAAAAAGATCAAAAAATTTGTATCAGATATAGGGGGTGTTTGGAACTGCTTAAGCTTCTTTTTTAAAGCAGAAGCAGAATTAGAATCAGTTTTTAGAAGCTAGTCTACCCCATCTTCTAAAAAAAATTAATTCTAGGAGTAATTTAGAGCACCAGAAGTACTTCTGCACTTTCACCCAAATACTCCAACTTCTGCTTCTGTTGCCTGAAGGAGCGGAAGCAGTTTTTAAGAATCAGATCCAAACACCCCCATGATATTCAATATTAGAATAATAAGATTATCTAAGGTTCAAGAAAGGACTAACCATTCTTGTTGTAACGGTGGAACCTAATAGTGAAGTCTTGGTTCATGATCTCTCGGATCTAAAGAGTGATTGCACCTTTCGGAGTCTAGCGGAGACTGCAACAATCATAGACTCTCAGGCGACCAGTCTCTTGCACACCATGAGCTAGTGATGAGAAGCCAAGATATACGGAAGTTGAAGCGATAAGCGGATCGATTAAGGAAGCAATTCTGTGTTTCGAAGAGGCGCAAACCAAAACTTAATAAATATATTACTCAGTATCCCTCCTAATTGGTATTGAGGGTGTTAAAGAATGAGGCTCCTCTTCAAATTGGGGCCGTGTTCACCCACACCTCATGCACAGGTCCAGGGCCGAGCCTGCTGCTGCAGGGGAGATTGAAGACGATAGAATGCAACAAAATGAGGAGTACATGAAAATGCTTTGGAATGATGATGCCAGCCAGTAAATGCGCTCATGAAACAAAATAAGTAAATGCTTTGAAGTCCTAGTGGTCCTAGTGGCAGATAATTTATCATGGGCTTAATCCTAAAAAATTAAAAACCTTTTATGTCTAAAGTTATAAACTAACATGCATAGTAATAATATTTCAATACATTTATAATAATATGTTAAATTAAACATAGTAGAATCACGGTTTTAAAATGAAATAAAAAATAAAATATCACTTAATAGTTAATACATTTCTGGCCGAGCACTGTAAAACGAAATCATCTAGTATAGCTTCATAATCAAGGTTTACGAACATATTATGCTCAATGCTTAATATTGCAAATCCATTAAGCCTTTCTTGAGACATTAATAACCGCATATAATTTTTGAAAAACTTCTTTAGCAAATTATAATACCAACACAAACTCCACATTTTATTTAATTGCATAACAGAAAAATCACCAATCACTTAAAATTTAAAAAAACAACAAATATGAAGTAATGAACTAGTGGATTTAAAATAGAAAAACTATGAACTAATCAACTAAAGTCTATAGGCAACATCAACAATCAAATATTTATCAACCTTCAACAGCCAACTAACTAACTAATTATTTATCAAATATTCATTTATAAACATCGAACAACTAGGAGTTACAGAACTAATTAATGAACTAATCAAATAATCTATAAAAGTCTATAAGAGTTAAGCCGTTAAGGAATATGGAGGTCGGACGAGTACCTCAAGCGTGAAGCCTTAAAGTGAGAACTGAGAAGGGACGATTAGCCGAAGCGCTGAACCGCAGTAGGCAGAGCGGGGCGCACCAGAAGGCTGATGAAGTGAGGAGTGACCGAGTGAGGACTGCTGTACCGCCAGTACGGCAGCCAAGCAGGGGCAGGGCGAGCTGAGGGAGGCGGCCAAGCGTCGTAGATAGGGCGGTCGGCGAGTCAGCCACTTGGCAGTTGGCACTTGGGAGTTAGCGTTCCGGTCGTCAATTATGCTCTGCTTGGATGGACAATTATGCTTTTTGTTTGGAGAGAGTGGAGTTTAAACGCACTTGCAGTTTTTATTAGAACTAAGTTTTAATAAAAACTAAGTTAACCTAAGTGAACCTATTAAAATAGTGTTTGGAAATATAGAAAGTGAACCTAGGTTAATGTAATAAATGTTGTTTGGATAAAGATACTCTAGCTCATTTTAAGTTAAACGAGAACTTAACCTGCAAAACCCCCCGATTCGGAGGTTCTTCAATTAATGGCCTCTTTGTTTAGGGGTTAACCTAGGTTATTAAAGGTTCAATTTATAGTTAACTCCGTTTGTTTGTATTTTTGCAACAAGAACCTAGGTTAGGTGTTAACCTCACTTAACTCCCGAGAACATGAAAGAACCTTAAATTGAAGAACCTCCGAATCGGGGGGTTTTGGGGGTTAAGTTCTCGTTTAACATAAAATGAGCTAGAGTACCTTCGTCCAAACAACATTTATTACACTAACCCATGTTCACCTTCTATATTTCTAAACACTATTTTACGTATGGACTTAGGTTCACTTAGGTTAGCCTAGTTTTTATTAAAACTTAGGTTTACTTTATTGCACTCGGTTTATTTAACTTCACTCTATCCAAACAGAGCATTAAGGTTCTTCTAGGTTCTCAGGAGTTCAGTGAGGTTAACACATAACTTAGGTTCTTGTTACAAAAACACAAACAAATGGGGTTAACTAGAAATTGAATCTTCAATAACCTAGGTTAACCTCCAAACAAACAGACCATTATACTTCGTTCCTCCGTTGAAACTTTGTCAATCTTTTCTTTTAGGAAGTCTAAAAAAAAATTGTCACTTTGCTTTTTAATCAATTATTATGTGATTCCTGTTATTTTTCTCTTCTCTGCACAAATCTCAAACACACAATTTTTATTTTATTATTTTCCGTGCCGGTCAAACTTGACAAAGTTTTAAGGGAGGGAGATAGTATTCGTTATATCGTACTTATGATTATAATTATTGCTATAATTATAATTACTAGACAAAGTATTCGTGCGATGCACGGGGTATATCTAAAGTGAAATAATAACTTGTTTGAATTACATTCTACTATACTCCTTAAAGTGTAATGGCACGTATAGTAATGAGCAATTTTTTTAAATAAAAAAGGAAAAGGTAAAATTGTTTCTTGTATTATTTTCAATTCTTCACTTATGTCTTCTATGCTAAAAAGGTATTACATATCATTTGATTGGTTTTTTTACCTGTCCTAGCATATTTTTTATATTACAAAACTTTAAAAATGCGTTAAAATGTGAAGAATTATAAATAAAAGTTGTGCATAATTTAAGAATGTCAAAGTCTATATTTTTTTTATTTTTTGAACTATTTGTATATTCTTCATCTTTTTTAAAGTTGTTTCAAATTAATTTATTTTTTACACTTTCACTTTATTTTTTGTCTTTTTTCTATTTTTATTTTTTATAATAAATTGTAAAAATTATCTATCCATTTTTTAACTAATACATTTTTTATATCATTATTATTACATTACTTTTTAATTTTATATTAATGTTTATAAGAATAATCGATTGTTCATTAAATTAAATTTATGCTATAGAAGGTTAAAATGACTTGGTGGACGATGTTTTTATAGTAAACATGCTTATATGATACTTTTTTTAGTATATGAACATAAGCGATGAATTGAAAATAATACAAGAGTTTATTTGACTCTTTTCCCTTTTTATTTTAAAAGAATTCTCATTGCGTACTATTAAGTTTCATGCAATGTTTTGACATTTTCTTGTACTACGTATGTTTTTGTTATTCTCATATATAGAACAATGGGTAGAAACAATTTTCTGTTTTTACATAATACCCCTACATACCAAAATAATTATCCTACTTTCTTTTTCCGGGTTGAATCAATTTAATTATTCTATTTCAGTTTTTCATACGAACTAATTATAGAAATCATATGAATATTGAAAAATATACATTTGAATTAGTGAATTAAAATGACTACATGAGCTGAGGTAAGTAGGTAATGTCCTAAATATTTTGTACTCCATCCGTCCTATTGAAAGATTCTCACTTTCCTTATGTTGGTGTCACATTTAAAAGTTTTCATTACATTTTAAGAAAAAAATTTAATCTCTTTAATTATACTTTTACTCAAGTTTCTCTTTCCTACTCATTACATGTCAAGTCTCAAAATTTACTCTCCCCCAACTTAATTCTCTTTATGAGCCCATTTGGTGACAGTGCTTTTCGGCTTATCAATCTTATAAGTCAACTTTTTAATCAAACACGTAACTTTAATTTTGATTAGGCGCGCTAAATTGTGTAATAATATCTTCTATTATACAAAGGCAGGAGAAAAATGTGAACAGTATTCCCGCTCAAAAACATCACATCAATGGGTTGGGTTGGGTCTTCAACGGGTCGGGTCGGGTCGGGTCTTCAAAGCTTGCTGATAGCTGTGTTGGTCAAAGTGGGAAGGTTGGGTCGGATCCAGCATCTATGGCTACAATTCTACAGCATTAAAAGTAAAGCCCAATACCCAATAAAGCATTGTGTGAGGCTCAATAAAAAGGATGTGTAGAGTGGGTTACATGAATCACAATGATAAAAAGAACAATTTTAATATTAAAAAAAGGGCCTATGTCATTTTGAATTAATTGGCTTGTACTACAAAATCCCTTAATGTCATTCACATATCCGCATGGTTTAAATAAAAGGAGATGTGTAATCAAAGCTCTCATAAAAAGTTCAATGTATTGCTTGAGCTCATTTAATGTTTGTACTACAAAATCTTTAGTAAAGATTTAGGTTCAATGGACCATTGGTTAAAAACCAAATTGCTTTTGGAAGACACTCCATTCTGCCCCTATATATACACTCAATATGGGTTGCAAACCACACCACAAACAAGCACTTCACAAGGCAAAAATAAATCACTCTGACTCATCTCTTTCCCTTTCGCCTTATGAACCTACAATAAGCAAGAATATCATTAGATGTACATTTACATATACATATATATTTAATATATGTGTGTGTGTGTGTGTGTGTGTTCATGTGTGCATAAATATGTCTGTGTGTAGACATGTCCATGTGTGTGCGTGTGTGTATATATATGTGTGTGTGTGAGTGAGAGAGAGAGAGAGAGAGAGAGTATATATATAGACATGCTCATGTGTGTGTGTTCATGTGTGTGTGTGTGTGTGTATATATATATATATATATATGCATTTTGTGTATATGCCATATGTAGACATGTAGTTATTAGTGTCATACATGTATAGATTCATATTCACACAAACATATACTTCATAAATATGTATACATTTAAGTAAAGTAAAGGGGCATTTGTAATGTGTTTCATTACTAGGCCACAAGGCCCACAACTAAGTAACATTAGGTCATTAGCTACCAAACAAACACATTTTAGCATAAATAATGTGTTTAGTAAATGGCATCTTTAAATAGATTTTGAAAAAGAATTAGGCTTCATGTTTATTAAAAATTAGAGTGATTGTCTTTCAATACACTTGATAATAAGGCATTTAAGCATACACACATCAGAAATCAACAAGATTGAGGCTTAAATGCATTTGGGCTATGGAATTGAAGTTCTGATTTTTGTTTAGGGCTTTGATCTACCAACAAGATTGTAGGGCTTGAAGTAAGTGTATACATTTTGAAAATTAAAGATTACTTTTAATGACATTTTTAAAACTAAAATATAGACCATAGACTACACCATATATATGATAGATTACAATAATGATGAATATAGAGTTCAATTTGTATATATGTCAAAATGAGATGACAATATGCAAATGTCATTTGTGCCATGCATATGTACTCTACCAACCTAAAAATTGATTGTTTTTATGTCCATCAAATGCAGTATACACAATTTATATCATTACGAATATTCTACAAATTTATTAAAGATTTGAAGTCATAGTTCATGAATAATAGTACATTATGTAATTTAAAACAAAAAGGTATTAACATCATAGTAAAATATTTCATTTATGTAATGATTGATACTATTTTTAAAATTTAAATTCAAAAATGTATACATTTAGAGTGTATGATACATTTACAATTATATATATTTGTTGAGGTTTAGTCCCGTAGATCCGAAAGCCCAACACACGCTTTGGATATTAAGGACGTTAGGTTTGGTTTAGAAAGTGTATAAAATATAAAATAGTGAGTATGGACTCAACTCAGAAGCTAATTGTATTGAGTAATTCGGTGATTACAATGAAACTGCCCGAACGGTATGTCGGTACAAGTTTGAATACAAGAGATATAATTCTATTGCTAAGCTCTGAGTATGAAAATGCTAACCCTTTACTATACATTTGATGCAGGTATTTATACTATAGAGGGGGTGGGTGAGGTGGACACGTGGCCGAAACCGGTAGGCTGTTACCTCTGCCACGAAATGCACTCATGCCTCTACTTGCTCTGGCCGTAATTCAACATTAAATGCGGCTCCCAATTGATGACCACCCGTACGGGTAGCGCGTTCGGTTGATGCCAGTACTCCGTTGATTGTCTCAAGTGGACAAATCCACCCGAATACTGTTCAGGTATCCCCCGTTCGGGACGTCTTGAACCCTCCTGCTTCCGTTGGGCCTCCTATTTCCCATGGGCCTTCTTTATGCTTTGGGCTGGGTGTATTGGGCTTGGGCCCAATACCCCAACAATCTCTATAATTAATCTAATAAGCATCAATAATGGTAAGCCCATTTTAGGTATAAAGAATGTGTTGGTGGAATAATGTAGCTTACTTGACATGTACTACATGCTTAAGTGTTTGTAACTATTTCCGGCTTAAAACATCTCCCTGCTAAACGTCGTTTGTAGTTCTGTTTGTATAGGAATCGTGTCTGCCGTCGTGTTATTACTTATTAGCCGCTAGACCCAAGCCGCACGCAGATAGCCGCCTGCCTCGCACCTCTTTGTCTCCTTCGTCTTCTCTCCGGTAGTCCTGTAAGTTATGATGTTCTTGTGGTTTGATGCTCGATATAACAATAA